TGCGGTGAAGAAGCATCAAGAATGCAACATCAGCCTCAGCATGGGGCACACATACATACATGGTTGGCGGCATCCGGTTTCGGATTTGCCTGTCACTGTGGCAAGCCACAGGACGCCTGCGCCTACAGAGGGACCATGGACGGCTTGCGCTGCACCACCCACAGCTCCAACCACATACCCCATATCCAGTGTAAACCCGAAGGAATAAGACCGGGAGGCATGCGGATGGGAACCACGTTTCATCAACGGAGCCGGCCCACACTCCTTCACAGGCAAACACAAGCACGCTGTATTTGGGGAATCAACCGCACACAAGGCGGTGGCTGGACCGTAGTCCGCTCCACACTGAGTGCATGGAACCGCTCTTTGAGCCTAGCACGGCCACAAGAACCGTGCACCCCGTCCCCTCCAGCAACGACCAACTGTCTCCTGGAGCCAGTATGAACGATGTAGTGGGTAATAGACAGGTAGGCACCTTGTCAACATACACATCAAGCGCAACCATACAAGGGATAGCAAACAACAGCCATTCACTTTAAACGACAAGCTGTGGCATAAGAGTTATGCCACATACATGGTTGGCGGCATCCGGTTTCGGATTTGCCTGTCACTGTGGCAAGCCACAGGACGCCTGCGCCTACAGAGGGACCATGGATGGCTTGCGCTGCACCACCCACAGCTCCAACCACATACCCCATATCCAGTGTAAACCCGAAGGAATAAGACCGGGAGGCATGCGGATGGGAACCACGTTTCATCAACGGAGCCGGCCCACACTCCTTCACAGGCAAACACAAGCACGCTGTATTTGGGGAATCAACCGCACACACAAGGCGGTGGCTGGACCGTAGTCCGCTCCACACTGAGTGCATGGAACCGCTCTTTGAGCCTAGCACGGCCACAAGAACCGTGCACCCCGTCCCCTCCAGCAACGACCAACTGTCTCCTGGAGCCAGTATGAACGATGTAGTGGGTAATAGACAGGTAGGCACCTTGTCAACATACACATCACGCGCAGCCACACCGGGGATATCAAACAACAGCCATTCACTTTAAACGACAAGTTGAAATAAAATAAATCCAACAATGCATACAGATACGGTGGCATAACTCTTCGCTAATTTACCATATGAAGTAAGTGCGCTAACAACAAATCCGTGATAAGTAAGAAATGTCCACAAGTTACTTAAAAATGCTACAAAACGCAACAAAATTACCGAAGATAAGCGCAATTAGTGTAAGCAACGCGGCCAGTTAATAGGACATTATTCAGGGAGGCAGAACAAACCAAATAAAGCGGAATGAAATTTATCCAGCTTAAAAAACCTAGTTTAAGTGTAAGTTGGTTTAGCCCAACTGCAGTGAAGAAGCATCAAGAATGCAACATCCAGTGTAAACCCGAAGGAATAAGACCGGGAGGCATGCGGATGGGAACCACGTTTCATCAACGGAGCCGGCCCACACTCCTTCACAGGCAAACACATGCACGCTGTATTTGGGGAATCAACCGCACACACAAGGCGGTGGCTGGACCGTAGTCCGCTCCATACTGAGTGCATGGAACCACTCTTCGAGCCTAACAGGGCCACAAGAACCGCGCACCCCGTCCCCTCCAGCAACGACCAACTGTCTCCTGGAGCCAGTATGGACGAGGTAGTGGGTAATAGACAGGTAGGCACCTTGTCAACATGCACATCAAGCGCAGCCACACCGGGGATAGCACGCAACAGCCAATCACTTAAAACGACAAAATGAAATAACATAAATCCAATAATGCATACAGATACGGTGGCATAACTCTTCGCTAAGTTAGCATATGAAGTAAGTTGGTTAGCAATGAATCCGTGATAAGGAAAAAATGTCCACAAGTTACTCAAAAATGCTACAAACGCAACACAATTACCGAAGATAAGCGCAATTAGCGTAAGCGACGTGGCCAGCTAATAGAAAATTATTCAGATAGGCAATACTAACCAAATAAACTGGAATGAAATTTATGCAGCATAAAGAGACCTAGTTTAAGTGTAAGTTGGTTTAGCCCAACTGCGGTGAAGAAGCATCAAGAATGCAACATCAGCCTCAGCATGGGGCACACTACATACATGGTTGGCGGCATCCGGTTTCGGATTTGCCTGTCACTGTTGCAAGCCACAGGACGCCTGCGCCTACAGAGGGACCATGGATGGCTTGCGCTGCACCACCCACAGCTCCAACCACATACCCCATATCCAGTGTAAACCCGAAGGAATAAGACCGGGAGGCATGCGGATGGGAACCACGTTTCATCAACGGAGCCGGCCCACACTCCTTCACAGGCAAACACAAGCACGCTGTATTTGGGGAATCAACCGCACACAAGGCGGTGGCTGGACCGTAGTCCGCTCCACACTGAGTGCATGGAACAGCTCTTTGAGCCTAGCACGGCCACAAGAACCGTGCACCCCGTCCCCTCCAGCAACGACCAACTGTCTCCTGGAGCCAGTATGGACGAGGTAGTGGGTAATAGACAGGTAGGCACCTTGTCAACATGCACATCAAGCGCAGCCACACCGGGGATAGCACGCAACAGCCAATCACTTGAAACGACAAAATGAAATAACATGAATCCAATAATGCATACAGATACGGTGGCATAACTCTTCGCTAAGTTAGCATATGAAGTAAGTTGGTTAGCAATGAATCCGTGATAAGGAAAAAATGTCCACAAGTTACTCAAAAATGCTACAAACGCAACACAATTACCGAAGATAAGCGCAATTAGCGTAAGCGACGTGGCCAGCTAATAGAAGACTATTCAGATAGGCAAAACTAACCAAATAAACTTGAATGAAATTTATGCAGCTTAAAGAGACCTAGTTTAAGTGTAAGTTGGTTTAGCCCAACTGCGGTGAAGAAGCATCAAGAATGCAACATCAGCCTCAGCATGGGGCACACATACATACATGGTTGGCGGCATCCGGTTTCGGATTTGCCTGTCACTGTGGCAAGCCACAGGACGCCTGCGCCTACAGAGGGACCATGGATGGCTTGCGCTGCACCACCCACAGCTCCAACCACATACCCCATATCCAGTGTAAACCCGAAGGAATAAGACCGGGAGGCATGCGGATGGGAACCACGTTTCATCAACGGAGCCGGCCCACACTCCTTCACAGGCAAACACAAGCACGCTGTATTTGGGGAATCAACCGCACACACAAGGCGGTGGCTGGACCGTAGTCCGCTCCACACTGAGTGCATGGAACCGCTCTTTGAGCCTAGCACGGCCACAAGAACCGTGCACCCCGTCCCCTCTAGCAACGACCAACTGTCTCCTGGAGCCAGTATGGACGAGGTAGTGGGTAATAGACAGGTAGGCACCTTGTCAACATGCACATCAAGCGCAGCCACACCGGGGATAGCACGCAACAGCCAATCACTTGAGAGAGAGAGAGAGAAAAAGAGAAAAACTCGATTAATGCATAAGGAAACGGTGACATAAACCTTAATTAAATAGCATACGTAATAAGTTGTTTACAAACAAATCCTAGCTAAGTGCACGAGGTCAGGAAGTATAGTTCACGGAATGCCACGAACACAAAAATGTTATGGAAATCGAATACAATTGGCTGAAGCGATGTGTGCAAGTTAATGGAATAGAGTACATGGAGATATTTATATGAGAAAGAAAAGCATTAAGGTAAAAACTGTAAACCCACCACCTGAAATAAAGAGACTTAGCATGCAAGCACGCGGTTAGTAAATCGAATTCAGCGTGCCTACAAACGCTGCGCCGGCTCGTCGTAATTCTCTGCAGGACCCGTCGTCGCTTCTGTAGTGGCCCCAAAGGACCTAGCTCATGGCCCACTAGACATTTATATGAGAAAGAAAGGCATTAGGAGAGAACCGAAAACCCACCACCTGAAATAAAGAGACTTAGCATGCAAGCATGCGGTTAGTAAATCGAATTCAGCGTGCCTACAAACGCTGCGCCGGTGCTGCCTACGTTCACTGCGGGACCCGTAGTCGCTTCGGCAGTGGTCCCGAGTGACCTCTCTCATGGCTCACTAGGCCTGCCTGACTAAGGCACTCGCGACCGCATGTTCTACAGCACAATGCGCTCGATGTCGATGGAGTACAATTCATCGGTGCTTGCCGCTTCCGCACTTGCCGCTTCTTCTCTGCATGCATGAGGGCTTTCTCCCGCACCTCAGCAACTGCCTTCGTGATTAGATCGCGCCATGCACCACGATCAACCGCCTTCGATTCCCATGATCTGCAATCAAGATTAGAACGTGTGAGGCTCACTTTAATCATGTCCTGGTAACGTAACTTGGGTTTCCCAGCATGCCGCTTCCCTATACTCAGCTGACCGTATAAAAGTTGTTTCGGTATTCGCGTCGAATCCATACGGCTCACATGACCGAGCCATCTCAGGTGTCGCAGTAAAAGTATGCAGTCCACTGCATACATCCCACTTCGGCGCAACACTTCCGTGTCTGCAACTCTGGCGCCCCAGCCGATCCGCAAAATTCGTCGCAGACACTGCTGATGGAACCGCTCGAGATATCGCACATCCCGACGGTACATCGTCCACGTTTCACTGCCGTATAGAAGAACGGACAGTACCATGGATTTGTACACCATCAGCTTCGTGCCAATGCTAAGCTGATGGTTGTTCCACACTCGGTACTCAAGCTTCCCGAATGCCGCTGCCGCCTTCGACACGCGATTACGCAACTCAACGTGTAGCTGCTGATCAGTCGACATCACACTCCCAAGGTAGCAGAAGCGGGAGGTGGTTTCCAATACTTCAGCACCAATGCTGATTTGCGGCAATATTGAAGATTGCACCTCCGGTGAAGGCTGAAAGAGACAGACAGTTTTGCTTGTGTTGATGGTGAGCCCGAATTTGGCCGCTGTCGAAGCCAGAGCACTAGTCATGTGCTGCAACTCATCCGCGCTGTGTGAAAACAACGCACAGTCGTCAGCAAACAGCAACATACGGATAGTTGTCTCACAGACTAGAGTTCTCGCACCGAAACGACGGATGTTCAGCAACCCACCATCAATACGGTGCTCCACACGAACACCGTAAGCACAAGCCGCATCAAAAGCACAAGACAACATTGCATGAAGATAGATATTAAACAGGGCAGGAGCTAACACACAGCCTTGCTTCACACCAGAGACAACTGTAAAGTCATCAGAGGTCTCTCCACTCAGCTGCACCCTCGCTCGCATACCACTGTGCAGACATTCAATTAAACTTACAAACTTACGCGGGCAACCAAACTTACCCAACACCAGCCACAGTGCCTCGCGGTTCACCGTATCAAATGCCTTGGTGAAATCAACAAAAAGCGAGTACAAAGGCTGGTGTCGTTCTCTGCACTTCTCTTGCAACTGACGAGCCGCAAACACCATATCTATAGTGCTGCGACCCGAACGGAATCCACATTGCTCTTCCGCCACGTTTGGTTCCACAATCTGACTCACGAGGCGATTGAGCAGGATTCGGGCAATCACCTTGCCCACACAACTCAGCAAGTTGATGCCACGATAATTCGTGCAACATTGCTTGCTACCTTTGCCCTTGTACAGTGGTAGCACAAGGGCATCCTTCAGCTCAGAAGGCACTTCCTCCTCAATCCACACGCGTTGCACCAAGTGGTGCAGCGCAGTCAACAACGCGGGTCCACCGTGTTTCAATACTTCAGGTGGGATCCCGTCACCTCCGGCACATTTGCCGTTTCGCAGCTGAGCAAGTGCTCTCTGCGTCTCATCCAGTCTCGGCGTATCCGCCAGATCCGCCTTCACATCGTGCTGCTTCAGGCCATTCAATGTAGGCCAGTCGATCTCTGAACGGTTGTTCAAGAGACAGTCAAAGTGTTTCCGCCAGACCTGCATTATGTCTGCAGTCTGGGTGCAGGTAGCGCCTGAACTACCATCGATCAGTGTCCTCAGCGGCTCCAATCTCGGTCCATACACCGCCTTCAAGGAGTCAAAGAATTCCTTGTGTTGACGGCGTTCGGCGTAGCATTCCATCTGCTTCGCCTTCTCCGTCCACCATGCATTTTTAATGCGACGGAGCTCTCGGGTCAGTCGCCGTCGAAGTTTGCGAAACTGACTACTCTTCCCCAAGTCACTGGGGTCTGCAACATGTGCAGCAAATGCTGCATTCTTCTCTGACACCAATGCGTCAATCGTCACATTGTTGTCATCAAACCAATCAGGCCGCTTACAGTTTGCGCGCCCGATGGTCTCCTCCGCAGCAGCTGTCACCTGGTCGCGAATGTGGTGCCACAGGTCGCCCACTGTGGCTATACAGTCCACATCACCACACAGGCGTGCAGCCATCGCCTTCTCCAGCTCAGTACGTTTCGCCACAGTACCGAGGGAGAGAATGTTAAATTTACGCCGATTCACGGCGGGAGTGCAATACATCGATTTACGAAAATATATGTACAGTTTGGTCCGAACCAATTTGTGATCAGTGCCACACTCAGCTCCACGCAGTACACGTGTCATGCGCACTTCACGCATATCACGCTGACGTACGATGACATAGTCGAGCAGGTGAGCGTGACCACTCCGTGGGTGCGTCCAAGTTGCTATATCACTCGCACTCAGTGCAAACCGAGTGTTCGTGATCGTCAGGCCGTGAGTGGCACACAGTGAGAGCAGCCTGTCACCGTTCGCATTCGCTGAACCAATGCCATGCGCACCGATAACATCTGTCCACGCTGATGCATCACGCCCAACGCGCGCGTTGAAATCACCCAGCAGAAATAGTCGGTCGCTCCTCGGCACAGACCGTATCACGGAGGATAGCTCAGTGTAGAACTGATCACGCGTGTCATCAGGATAACACATGGTCGGACCGTACGTGCTTATAAAAGTAGCAAACTTACCTCTTCCGAGTCGTAGGCGAACAGTCATCAGTCGCGCGCTGATGCCCGTTGGTTCACCCACCAGCTGGCCATTCAGGCGGTCGGATATTGCAAATCCGACCCCATGTTCACGTGGTGCTGAGGCGGCGTTCCCCACCCAGTAGAATGTGTAGCCAGCACCTGCTTCATGTAACTTACCTTGCTCAGCGAGCCGAGTTTCACTGAGCGCCGCAATATCGATGTGGTAGCGCGCCAGCTCCATTGCGACCAGTGCAGTGCGTCGCTCCGGGCGCTCGCTCGAGTTCCGGTCCAGTAGTGTGCGCACGTTCCAGCACCCGATGCTGAGTGCTTTGCGCGCAGGCATACGATTGCATTGGTGGGCAATCGCACGCGAGGTGGTCGTTGTGCTTCGGAGGTTTGCTTGAGGGACTCCACCCGGAGCCTTTGGCTCAATAGCCTGACCCACAAGGCAGTGGGTGGTTTGGAGGTTTGCTTGAGGGACTCCACCCGGAGCCTTTGGCTCAATAGCCTGACCCACAAGGCAGTGGGTGGTTTGGAGGTTTGCTTGAGGGACTCCGCCCGGAGCCTTTGGCTCAATAGCCTGACCCACAAGGCAGTGGAGAGCAGATCCAGCTCGGGAATGTGATTGCAGAGACAGATTGGGATCTGCTTGACGGCCGTCACACGCAGCCTTTGAGGTTCTGGAACAGTTATCATATGTTTTGCGACCGTAATTGGATACGCACCTGCGACCACGGCCAGACGCAGGTGGGTTTTTGGCGGGTTTGCACCAATTTGACCAGGGGCTGCCTGGCTTGAGGCGGGCAGTAGCAAACCATTGAACACCCGGAGGTGTCCTCCCACCGTCAGAGACAATGCGTGGCACTCGTGCTCTACGCCAATCGAGCATTGAGAATATCACCCGTAACCTGTTGTCTCCCATGGCTAGGTTTTACGGGAAGTGGGCCATCGACCACTTCCTAACCTCCGGAGAGGATGGACTAGGATACTGCCAGGGCGCCCAATCCTGACAGGAGAACGACTCGGGTCCTCAGCCAAAGCCTTCGATTAAATGAACACCCGAAAGGCAGCGGGTCTAGCACATGGTCAGTTAGCTGACTCATGCGGATTGGTGTCCTGGATCTTAGCAGGGAGAAGGGCGAAACCTAACTCCCACCCAGCGGTCGCCACGTGGAGGCGCCCAGGACATGAGACTATGGCGCAACAGTAGCAGCAGTGGGTAGACCATCTGTCAGGATCTAGCCACCACCAGCCTCAGCGCACCATAGGCTCTCCCGCCACATACATACATGGTTGGCGGCATCCGGTTTCGGATTTGCCTGTCACTGTGGCAAGCCACAGGACGCCTGCGCCTACAGAGGGACCATGATGGCTTGCGCTGCACCCACCCACAGCTCCAACCACATACCCCATATCCAGTGTAAACCCGAAGGAATAAGACCGGGAGGCATGCGGATGGGAACCACGTTTTCATCAACGGAGCCGGCTACACGCCTTCACAGGCAAACACAAGCACGCTGTATTTGGGGAATCAAGCGCACACAAGGCGGTGGCTGGACCGTAGTCCGCTCCACACTGAGTGCATGGAACCGCTCTTCGAGCCTAGCACGGCCACAAGGACCGTGCACCCCATCCACTCCAGCAACGACCAACTGTCTCGTGAAGCCAGTATGGACGAGATAGTGGGTAATAGACAGGTAGGCACCTTGTCAACATGCACATAAAGCGCAGCCACACCGGGGATATCAAACAACAACCAATCACTTAAGAGAGAGAGGGGGAAAAATAACTCGATTGATGCATACGGAAACGGTGACATAAACCTTAAAGGCTGGCTAGCCGAACAACCTCCTCGTGGTGCCAGCTGGGTGGTTCGTGTTTGACCCGTTCCAGCAAATAGTTCGGCGGCAGTGTTCCAGGACGTGGTGGGTTTTCGCCTGGCAAGCGTTCTCCCTATAAAAAGCCACAAATGTCTGCTTAAGAACACTGTGACGTGGCGGTCGTGACTCGCCACAAAATAAAGTCACTGCCCAGTGTGTATCCGAATAATCCTTTCCAACGCACGGACATCCATCTTCTACTCGAGCATTGCCGACGATATGAGAGTGAAAATTAGAGCAGCACAGTTACAAACAGGAACTTACAGTTACCACACAAGCCTACATACATACATGGTTGGCGGCATCCGGTTTCGGATTTGCCTGTCACTGTGGCAAGCCACAGGACGCCTGCGCCTACAGAGGGACCATGGATGGCTTGCGCTGCACCACCCACAGCTCCAACCACACACCCCATATCCAGTGTAAACCCGAAGGAATAAGACCGGGAGGCATGTGGATGGGAACCACGTTTCATCAACGGAGCCGGCCCACACTCCTTCACAGGCAAACACAAGCACGCTGTATTTGGGGAATCAACCGCACACAAGGCGGTGGCTGGACCGTAGTCCGCTCCATACTGAGTGCATGGAACCACTCTTCGAGCCTAACACGGCCACAAGAACCGTGCACCCCGTCCCCTCCAGCAACGACCAACTGTCTCCTGGAGCCAGTATGGACGAGGTAGTGGGTAATAGACAGGTAGGCACCTTGTCAACATGCACATCAAGCGCAGCCACACCGGGGATATCAAACAACAGCCAATCACTTGAGAGAGAGAGAAAGAAAAAGAGAAAAACTGGATTAATGCATAAGGAAACGGTGACATAAACCTTAATTAAATAGCATACGTAATAAGTTGTTTACAAACACATCCCAGCTAAGTGCACGAAGTCAGGAAGTATAGTTCACGGTATGCCACGAACACAAAAATCTTATGGAAATCGAATACAACTGGCTAAAGCGATATGTGCAAGTTAATGGAATAGAGTACATGGAGATATTTATATAAGAAAGAAAAGCATTAAGGTAAAAACTGTAAACCCACCACCTGAAATAAAGAGACTTAGCATGCAAGCACGCGGTTAGTAAATCGAATTCAGCGTGCCTACAAACGCTGCGCCGGCTCGTCGTAATTCTCTGCAGGACCCATCGTCGCTTCTGTAGTGGCCCCAAAGGACCTAGCTCATGGCCCACTAGACATTTATATGAGAAAGAAAGGCATTAGGAGAGAACCGAAAACCCACCACCTGAAATAAAGAGACTTAGCATGCAAGCATGCGGTTAGTAAATCGAATTCAGCGTGCCTACAAACGCTGCGCCGGTGCTGCCTACGTTCACTGCGGGACCCGTCGTCGCTTCGGCAGTGGTCCCGAGTGACCTCTCTCATGGCTCACTAGGCCTGCCTGACTAAGGCACTCGCGACCGCATGTTCTACAACACAATGCGCTCGATGTCGATGGAGTACAATTCATCGGTGCTTGCCGCTTCCGCACTTGCCGCTTCTTCTCTGCATGCATGAGGGCTTTCTCCCGCACCTCAGCAACTGCCTTCGTGATTAGATCGCGCCATGCACGCCGATCAACCGCCTTCGATTCCCATGATCTGCAATCAAGATTAGAACGTGTGAGGCTCACTTTAATCATGTCCTGGTAACGTAACTTGGGTTTCCCAGCATGCCGCTTCCCTATACTCAGCTGACCGTATAAAAGTTGTTTCGGTATTCGCGTCGAATCCATACGGCTCACATGACCGAGCCATCTCAGGTGTCGCAGTAAAAGTATGCAGTCCACTGCATACATCCCACTTCGGCGCAACACTTCCGTGTCTGCAACTCTGGCGCCCCAGCCGATCCGCAGAATTCGTCGCAGACACTGCTGATGGAACCGCTCGAGATATCGCACATCCCGACGGTACATCGTCCACGTTTCACTGCCGTATAGAAGAACGGACAGTACCATGGATTTGTACACCATCAGCTTCGTGCCAATGCTAAGCTGATGGTTGTTCCACACTCGGTACTCTAGCTTCCCGAATGCCGCTGCCGCCTTCGACACGCGATTACGCAACTCAATGTGTAGCTGCTGATCAGTCGACATCACACTCCCAAGGTAGCAGAAGCGGGAGGTGGTTTCCAATACTTCAGCACCAATGCTGATTTGCGGCAATATTGAAGATTGCACCTCCGGTGAAGGCTGAAACAGACAGACAGTTTTGCTTGTGTTGATGGTGAGCCCGAATTTGGCCGCTGTCGAAGCCAGAGCACTAGTCATGTGCTGCAACTCATCCGCGTTGTGTGAAAACAACGCACAGTCGTCAGCAAACAGCAACATACGGATAGTTGTCTCACAGACTAGAGTTCTCGCACCGAAACGACGGATGTTCAGCAATCCACCATCAATACGGTGCTCCACAAGAGCACCTTAAACACAAGCCGCATCAAAAGCACAAGACAACATTGCATGAAGATAGATAGTAAACAGGGCAGGAGCTAACACACAGCCTTGCTTCACACCAGAGGCAACTGCAAAGTCATCAGAGGTCTCTCCACTCAGCTGCACCCTCGCTCGCATACCACTGTGCAGACATTCAATTAAACTTACAAACTTACGCGGGCAACCAAACTTACCCAACACCAGCACAGTGCCTCGCGGTTCACCGTATCAAATGCCTTGGTGAAATCAACAAAAAGCGAGTACAAAGGCTGGTGTCGTTCTCTGCACTTCTCTTGCAACTGACGAGCCGCAAACACCATATCTATAGTGCTGCGACCCGAACGGAATCCACATTGCTCTTCCGCCACGTGAGGTTCCACAATCTGACTCACGAGGCGATTGAGCAGGATTCGGGCAATCACCTTGCCCACACAACTCAGCAAGTTGATGCCACGATAATTCGTGCAACATTGCTTGCTACCTTTGCCCTTGTACAGTGGTAGCACAAGGGCATCCTTCAGCTCAGAAGGCACTTCCTCCTCAATCCACACGCGTTGCACCAAGTGGTGCAGCGCAGTCAACAACGCGGGTCCACCGTGTTTCAATACTTCAGGTGGGATCCCGTCACCTCCGGCACATTTGCCGTTTCGCAGCTGAGCAAGTGCTCTCTGCGTCTCATCCA